GAATGGGAGGAGAGCAGAAGTGATGGTGATACTGAGTTTACAAGTGGGTGTAGAATATTAATTTTTTCACTTCTGCATATAGCAGGAATGTCAGGTTTATGTATTCTTCACAAATCATTGAAGAAAAGAGCAGGTAAGAAAAAAAGGTTGTCAGTACTTTTTTACAGAGATACTATTTGTAAGTAGTGTAGGCTTTTCAGTGTCCTACCTTAATGTGGTTGTATTGTCAATCTAAAGACTGGGAATGAAACCTTGGCCCTGTTGAAATCATAAGCAAACCTTCCACTGGGTGTTTTAAGGTGCTCATGAAGCACATAATAGGCAGAAACTCTTATGAAATACTCTGTTCTCACAAAGCCTGATAGTACATGTGCAAATGAATCTGATACTGACAAGAGATAGGCACTATAATAAAGGGGTTATAAATTATAGTATTTCTGTGGTCTGAAGCAAAGAACAAGACTGTTCAAGGTATTTTGAGGAGCTGCAGATCTACTCAAAGTTTTAATGAAATGCAGCAAGTTGAAGAGGAGGTGTGGAGTCAGAAGCAAAAGGCAGAATCCATCTAGGTTTGCCTGGAAGAATATGGTGGTAAAAAATAGCATGCGCAAACACTAGATAAACTGGCAAAATGCTAATGTGTATTAGGAGTAAAATAGTAAAATAAAGATACATCATCCATTTGTAGTCAAACATGCACACTGGGTTTTGGAGGAATGTGATGTGATTAGAGTGATGTTGTCATTTTTGGTAAATGTTAGAGCACACTAGTGGATGGGGTTGGGTTATGATCCCTAAGGCATAAAGAGGTTGATACTTCTCATAATCATCCTGTCACTGAAAACTTATCTTTGAAAACTGTTGGAACTGATGTTAAAGAAAATATTGGAACTTAATAAATGTTAAAGTAACCTTCAGATAAGATTATGATATGTATGTCTCAATTAACAACTTCTTTTAATAAGTTTTTAAAATGTCATGGATAAGAGAAAGTTTTGCTATAAGAATGAAATCAGTACATCCACACAAATGATAAAGCTAAAAACTGTGCATGCATTAACGCTGGAAAAAGTTAAATTGAAATTTTTATCTTCACTGTAAGGGGAACAGTACTTGATGAGCAGCTCTTTTTTCTTTCTGTTAAGTCTATGACTCCAGGTCTTTCTCACCATACACTGTTCTGAACACAAATTTTGTCTTTTTATTAGAGAGTTTTCAGTGGTATTGATCGTGGACATATTAAATTCTAAAATTGGTTCTTGTTGAAGAAATGATGGGGCTTTTTTGTTCATTTTTAGGGTTGGAAATGTTTTCCCTTTTTTTTCATTTTTACACAAGGGAAACTGAGGCATGGTTGTAGGAAGTTTGGCCTGGTTTTGATGTCTGTAGATGAAATCTTTTGAAACACAGTTTCTGGAAACACTTTCAGAGCACATCCATCTTCAAACTCAAAAGTTGTTGCGGTTGTACATACAAAGCATTTCCTGCAGTTTAAGCCCTGTGATTTCAAGTTAGGATGCATTAAATCAGTAAATTTTGAAATTTTTTTGGTTTAGTGAAAAACTGTGGCAGATGCAGAGGTAGAGTCCATTTCTGCCTGAGCGACACAAAGCTAGTTTAGACGGTAAGACAGTTGTCTCCTTCATTCACTACCTGTATGATAAGTGAAGCCCTTGCTCCAATAGCTTACACTGACCCCTTCTCTGCCCTGTGCTGGGTGGATACCTGGAGGAGGCACATCTGCTGCATGTGAGGATGGAAGTGTGACTGTGGGTTTAAAGACAGCTATGTTTGTGAAGGAGACACGCTTAATGTTGGAGGAGCAAACTTAATTCCAAGTGCCCTGAACTTCTGCAGTAATAATCTTAAGCCTGGGGGAGAGCCGGCTCTTTGGTTTTGTTTTGCCTCCCAGAAATATGTTGACAGCCACTGAGTCACTGGTAGATGTCTTCACCTTTAGCTGTACCACATGGAGGGTTGGGATCTAACCTGAGGGGAGCCAGGAATAGCAGTGGTGACTTGTCACCCCCCATAAGGACCAGCTGATGCATAGGATGAGAAATGCTTCCTCACCAAGTCTGTCTTGACTTGTCTCCAGGTCCCTTGCTTCCCAGTGACCACATCCCCCTTGGTTCCGGTGTTCTGTGAGACACTGCAGCCCTGTATGGATTTACAGCAATATCTGAGGCTCTTCATCCCTCCACCTTTCTGAACTGGGGGGATATCACCTGAGGGAAAGAGGAATGGCCCCCACCTGAAGAGAACACAGAGAAGAGTAGTGATGGCAGGCTGGTGAGAAGGAGAGAAGGAAGGATGCCCTGGCAGTGAGGCTCACACTCCCAACACACACACACACACACACACAGAAGCTCCGCTGCTTGGAGGTCACTAGTCCAAAGGACAGAGACTCTTTGGCCTGTATCCATGTCACCTCCTGACCTTGTTTCCTCCTCTCCCCTTCAGCTCTTTCTGCCTCATTTCTGCCTCCATTGCTTTTTCAACTCATTGTCCCTCTTCCCTTGTCTGGCAAATTCAAGGCAGCCTCCACACACTTTGTAACTACTCTGAAGAAGCCTTGCCCTGCCCCTCACGTGCTCCTGTTTATTCCTTCTGTGCTCCCAGTCCAGTGGCATTCAGGTGCTCTTTCTGACAGGGGCACATGTCTTGCCTTTTGTGAATGTCCAGTGTCACCCTGGGAAATTAAAATTCTCTGCCTCAAAGCATGGTATTCAAGAGGTATTTTCAAGTGTTTTATGTGAGAACATAAACCATGTATTTTTCTGTGACCTCATTCTAAGACATAGCTGAACTATTTCTGCTGAATTTTCCAGAGAATTTCAGCCTCAGGCATCCATATGCCCTGGAAAATTTCAGCCTAAATGCTAGAAGTTTGGCAAAGTTTATATGCACCTGAAAGTAGTCTTCATAATGGAAAATGTCTGATTGTTTTAGCTGTCTAGCTGCCTGCATTGTTTATATTTATGAATTGGATGCAGAAAATACTACACTCAAAATTAATTAAAGTTGAATTGAAGTAAATGTGATTATTGGAGATGAGACGTGTAAATTATATCCTGAAACAGAAGATGGTAGCAATGAAAAGTGCTTTTTGGCTTCATGGGAATCTAATGGAGGAAGCTCAAGAATCACTTTGAACAAGGATTTATTTTTGAGAGGAAGAATATGACAGGTGATGCACAGAACATTAAAACACAGAAATAAACATAGATAAAGTATTGTGGTCTATAGGAGGAAATGTCAGTTGTTGCCTGGGACCCTCTAAGAAGGAATCTATAGTTCATCTGCTTAGCCTCTGTGTTTTTATTTGAAACTGTGGTGAGAGTGCATGATGGCCTAAAAAAAGCCAAAATTGAGAACGTTGTTTTGAATCAGGTGATCTGAAGTGGTTGAGGAACCATTGATTTTGAAAAGTATGAAATCTAAATGGTAAATTACCCAGGGACATTAAGTGGCAAAAAATAGAAACTTCTAATCTGGCTACAGAGCAGGCAAACAATAAAGGGAAAATTGCTGAGTAATACTTAACCAAAATTAGCAGCGAATGTGGAATTTGCTATGGAAGCAAAAAAGGGCAGTCCTCTTTTGAAGTGAATGGAGATGTCATGTAAGGAGGAGGTTATCATTTCCATCTCCTCAGGTGTAGTGTGCTCATATTCAGAATACTTTATTAGTTTTGGGTGACATTCCTGGAAAATTGGTATTGGTAATGGTGGAGACAGCCAGGGGAAAAAAAATGAGGTTTGATGGATTTTATTTGCAGTGAGGAAAGAATAATAGTTCATTAAGCAGTGACTGCTTTGGAAAAGGCATATTTGGATAGGAACAAAAAAAGTAGTGTGTTAGTAGTACAAACAGCATTGATGAGCAGAAACAGGGATGGGAGTGGGAAATGTTAGTTATTGTCATAAGAACTATTACATCAGAATGTAATAGCCAGAAAGGACTTGAAGAGGCTGTATTACATAGGAGGTTTTAAAATTAACTGTTCAGCAGTGTGCTGCAGGAGAATATGTGCAAAATGTGCTGCAGGAGGGAATCCTGCTCCTGGTGGGAGGGTGGGCTGGATGGGTGAATTAATAGGTCTTTTTTGGGGGGGAGGGAGCAGGAGAAGAGGGTATGTGCCACTTTCATGAAGATGAGATTGTGATAGGCCTTGTGAAAGCTTCACCCCACATTCTTCCATGAATCTAACCAGAACTCAGGAATTAAAAAACGGATGTCATATTAACAATACAGGGCTCTGCACTTCATGAAGTATGGTACTTTTTCTGCCTCAGTTAGTTCTCAGTAATAAAACATGAGAGTAATACTACACAATGGTTGACACCTGTCCTGAAACTCTTACAGGGCTTGGTAAGTGCTGCCAAAAAGTCTAAAAATAAAACTTCCCTCCCTTACCTCCCTTCCCCCTCCATCACTGGTTGCAGTTTGGATTTTCTGTGGTCTATTGAGGAGGCAAATAAACTTTCACATAAAATGTAGGTTATGACTTGCTTTTTGATCTGGAAACTTATTAGTGTGCACAAAAGCAACAGGAAAATGCTGAAATGCAGTGTTCTGTATGCATTACACTTCTTGGAAACTTTCTTTTCTTTCCAGTTTCACTTGTTTTTTGATGTGAGAGAGCAGACATTTTCTCAGGGTTAAATGGTTTGTCCACTGTTTGCATCTCTCTTGATATATATGTTTTTATTTTATTTTTGTTTTAACGTTTAGGTCAGTGATGCTAATCAGTGTGCAGCAGTATATTTAATTATTTCTTAAGCTGAATTTTTTTGGGAAGTTTTTCTCCTTTCAGTCTGTATAGGTAACAGCCTCACGTTTGAGTGAAAAATATTTTTTTAAGTTGTTTTAAATGGACTGGAAGTCCAAAACTTAATATTCAAAACCTCATCTAATTAATCAGAGAAGCCCAGGGTATGGTACTTTGCCAGTTTGCACATCAAGTCAATATTTGATGTATAAAGCATTGAGAAAACACATGTATCATTCGCCCGCAGTGAGCCTGACGATTCTGACCTTTTTCTTCGCATGTCTTAAATATTGCTTTGCTTGTGTTTGCCAACAGGGCAGTCCGATGGATCCGATGGTGATGAAGAGGCCGCAGCTGTACGGCATGGGCAATAACCCTCACTCTCAGGCACAGCAGAGCAGCCCCTACCCCGGGCAGTCCTACGGCCCTCCCGGCCCCCAGCGCTATCCCGTGGGAATGCAGGGCCGAGCCCCGGCAGCCATGGGAGGAATGCAGTATCCACAGCAACAGGTTTGTGGAGGATTTTTCTGGGTTGCTTTGGTTTCCCTCCTCTCTTTCTCTTCCCTCCTGACATTCTGGTAATACAGAGGGTGCAAGAGAAAAACCTCAGAAATAAGCATTTCCTGAGCAGAAGGAGGATGAAGGACTGTTTTAAAACTAAATAAATTATGTTCACAGTGTGAATGTTTTCTGAAATCCTTTACAGTTCAAACAGGATTTAGTTTGTTGCTGGTATCTTTCTGGAGAGAGAAGTATGTCAAATGCCATGAATTTTTTTTTTTTTTCCAGTTGACACCACTTAGCCCTGCATATTTTTTCGTTCTTTTCTTTGCTGTTGTTCTTGGTTTTCTAGGGGTTTTTATGTTCTCTTTCTCTCCGCTTACATGCACTTAAGTGTAAGATGAAAACCTAGAGCTGACATCAGCACATCAAGGCTAGTGTAGTCCAGTGCATACAAAAGCATTACATATTTATATCAGCTGTTTGTTGTTGTGGTGGCTGGTTTTCTTTTTTCTCCTCGTTTTGATAGGAGTCTGTAGCTTTTCCTATTTTTTTTCTTTCACCAACTCTTTAAAGTCAGGATTTTTTTGAATGTATCAGAGTATATAGAAAGGTAAGGATCTCCTTTTTATCTACTTGGATTTCACTGTTGATGGAGACCTCTTGTGCTTTTTTCCTGCCCTTTTTAAGAAGGTCAATCTCAATGTGCATACCATGTACTAAAGAAAATACAGCAGTTTTCAAGAGGGAGAGATAAACCGAGGTTATCAAGAAGTTAATGTTTTGCTGATTTTTTTCTTTTTTTTAATTAGGGATGTGAATGTAGGCAGTGAGAGCTCTACACCGCCTTGTGAGCACAACAGATTAGTAACTTGATCATTAATGGGAAAGAACATTTGTTTTGTGCAGCTTCCCAGTTACAGATTAGCTTTTTTAATGTCGTTTATTGTTAAATATAGGAAATAAAAATAAAATTTTGGACTCCTGGCAGATAGGTGCCTGGCCAATTCTTGTTACTACCCATCCAGTAGGACAAGATGTTAGTCAGGCAGTTAATTAAATAACAGTTTCAAATATATTATAATATCATTAGTACAATGATATTAATTTTTATTCTTTTCTGCTGTTAAATAGATATTTACTGATAAGGAAGGGATTATTTAGTTTAGAGATGCCAAACATTAGATTTGGTTGCTAGATTCAGGCAGCAAAGCATTTTGTCATTTGCAAAAGGGAGGAGATATCGAATAAAGAAGGCCTTATTTTTCTGTGTATCTGTAACCAAAGTGAAGTTATTAAAACACATTTTTCATTTAAATAAGAGTTACTCTGTGTTACGCGGAGATGAGTGTTGAATTTTCAGTGCATTTGCTAATTGCTTGGTAATTGTAAATTACCCGTCAGCAGGCAGTGACCTGGCAGCGCCATTGGCTGCCGGCCCCATCCGTCTCCTCGCAGCGCTGCCCTAAGTGGCTGAGCGGCAGCGCCGGCCCGAGCACCAGAGCTCTTCAGGGAAAAAGGGACAGCATAATTATGACATTGAATTTTTATTGAACGGACATCACCACCTAGGCATGATTTTGTTTTGGACAGCCTCCAAAGCTTCGTGTGTTTGGTTTGTGAACCTCTAATGATCTGAATCCAGTTCTTTTCATATTGCTCATATATTACCACCTTGCTACAAAGGATTAAAATGCAGGAATGCAGGTTTGTAAATTGAATTGCCAACTTACCAGCTGAGTGGTAAGTTGTCTTTGGCACAGGATGCCACAGTTTGATTCCTGGCTGGATTTTTATTCCTGTGACATGAATATTAAATAAGGAGAGCCTAGCTACGCTTGTTAAGACTGTGTAGCACGTACCTACTTTAGATATCATATATATATATAAAATATATAATATTGCCAGAAGTTTCAGAAGATGAATCTCAGCACTTTCTGGAAATTGGACTGCTTTACAGTGTCACATTGAATTTATCAAAAGCGCAAGGCACTTCCAAAAATTTGATTGGTTAAAAAATACTGGGCCTTAAACACATACCGTGCTCAGATTTAAGTATTGTGCAGAGATAGCATTGAGTAGATGGATTATGAGGGTGGAAGTGCCACACTGTAGGAAGGGTGGGAAGCATCAATGGGGGAGATTGTTCTTATTTTAAGTTATAGTTTGCTGTTGCCCAAAGATAGCTGAGGGTGTCAGCTCTGTTTCCTTGGATGAAACAAGAAGGCTTTTTGTTAAACTGTGAAGATTTTTGAATTTTGAAGAAGACCTTGAAATGTTAAGTCTGGCTCTTTGTCAGCAAGTGTTGTGGCTTAAGGTTAGAACTATGGGACTTGACAGATTTTAACTTGCAGGCTCTGCTGCAGGATGCTGCAAATGAAGAAATAAAGATGAAAAACAACACCCTAAAGATTGAGCTAAAATTAATGAAAGTGGTAGAATTGAAGATAATTGCCTAGATGTAGTTAGCTGGTCTGTGTCATATTGCAGCAGAGAATAGTGTGCTCCAGCCTGCAGCCCAGGGGTGGAAGAGCTCTCTCTCAGGAAGGGAGGCCTCTGGCATAAGCACTAAAAGATTAAAGAGGATGAAAAAGATGAAATATTATCAGGTGCAGTCAGCCTACGTATCTGCAGCATGTGTGTCAAGCACAGCCTGCTAACCGGTCTTGAAAGGGGTATCTATGAAATGCTGCAGACGTTCTCTTACAACTGCTGTTTGGTCTAGGCATGCTTGACACCAAACATGAAGGTGCAAATAAACCCCCAGATTTTCTTAAAATTCCGCGTGGAAACTGCAGGATGTTGAAGTGACTGTGGAAGGTATGGGGGATTTATTCTGCAAAGGACTGAAGAGAGAAAGCAGATCTCCTAAGTGAGTTTGGAACTCATCTCATATTAATGATGAGACCCAGCACAACATACTAAGCCTTACATAAGGGGCACAATTTGAAATCCAGGCAATATCTTTACACTAATGCAGCTAAAGATAAAGGGGTCTAGATATCGAAATGGCCATATAGCAAAGGCAGGTTGATTGTGATAGAAGTAAATGGTGAATGGATTTTCTCTTTCTTTTCTGACAGTTAACAACAGAGGTACAGATTTGTCAGGTGAAGATGGGTGATAGCCTCCTGGGACAAAGTGCTAAGCAGTTTGAAGACTGCTGCAGCATTTTGTAAGATTTTAAGGGCATGTCCAGTTAACTCAGTCTGAGTCAAATAAATACATAAGGCATTTGCATGGATTTGACACCTGTATAAGACGGAAGGTATGAGAAAGGAAGGTGATACAAAAAGAGACATATGCTTTACTTATAGGCTTGCAGACTTGACATATCACTTACCAGGATGCATTAATATGGAAAATTAATTACTTAGAGATTTTTATGTTGTTAGGAAACTTGGGATTTTGTTTCTTTCCATTCCCCTTCACTGGGAGAAGAGGGGAAGAAGGCGAGGGAAAGCTGGGAGCAAGATGACCTGTGCCTGTGCTGTCAGTCTTCATTAATGAAACACAAGTTGCAGCAAGGCTTTAAAATACTGTTCTTGCATTTAAGTCTTAATATTGCTATCTCGTAATCTCATGAACTCTCTCTCCTGGTTTGCATGGGGTAAATGTAATTTTTTGATTAATAGCACTCCTTACCCAGGGAATGTATGTAAAACCAAAAAAGCAGAAAAATATTTTTTTCAGATTTAGCTTGCAGTTTTTAATATCTTAGATATCACTTAGAATTACAAAGAGATGATGTCAAAATTGAAAATCCTAATATGCAAGGATAGCTAGCACCTGAAAACTTCAGGCTTGATTTTGCAATACATCTCACTATGAGTGAAATACTATCTGAGTAATAAGATCTGATTATAAAGACCATAACTTGCTTTTCGTTTAACTTCTTTTTTGCCTCACACCCTTTTTGGACTTCAGTCAAGAAAGTGATGATGCCATGATCAGTTCCTTCTGGCTTTAGTTCGATTGCCCTCTCAGTGCTTTAGTGCTGTGTGCTGTAGGAAAACCTTCTGCTGCTTTGTAAAGACATGTTTGCTAAAAATAAAAAGACCTCAGAATACCAGTCAAAATAAGGGGCTTTTTTTCTCACCAGTGGTGTTGTTTTTTCATGATAATAGCATGCAGTATTTTATTTTGTGATGAATTTCATTAAGCTTAAAAATCATATACTTGAAATATTCACTTACAGGTTTTTAAAGTTTTCATCAAAGTTTGAAGGCTTGGATTTATGAAAATGTTTGAAAGAACTGAATGGTGTGATGTGCCTGTTTAATCAGATGATCATTGCCTAATTGATTTTTTTTTAGCATGCATTAAAATTCCTTGTGTACTTGATGGACTGGAACAACAACTTATTGTGTAAATAGGATCGTGTTGCTATAATGCATAGTAAATTCTTTATGAAAGATATTTGCATGGATATGTACAACAGCCATTCCTAATAGCTAGTTAAAATGGAACATTTCAGTGCTGATCATGCAGTTGCCTTAGTGCCTTGAGCCTTCTTGCTGCAAAGTTATGAGGCCTGAGCCTCAGTCTATTCTTTCTCTTTATATTTATTTTTTTTAATAGAAATACTGAGATTAAAGGGTCCTAATCACTTGTCCCTTTAACTTATTTTCATGTTCTTGATTTGCAGAATTCAAAACCAAATGTTATCAGTGTCCTTACTGTTTTAAGAATGTAGCTGTAGATATTCAGAGAAGTACTCATTCCATTTCCTCCCTTTTTTTGATATACAGATTATTTTGAGGTGTAAGGAACAAAGTTGTAAAACCTCTAGGAATATGTAGCAAGAATTTATTGTATGGAAAGTGCAAATAAACCAGAACTATAGCAGCAGCAGCATGATTACATAATTTAGGAAAAGACTTACAGTGCCCGTATTGGGTAATGTCCCAGGTTGGAAATGTCGAGTTTATGCCAAGGAAATCAGTTGGCTGTTGGCTTGGCAGATAAAAGCTAGCAAACACACATGTTTACTCCTGGATGGCTGGTTG